TTTATTACCCTGTTTACAGAAACTGCCTCTCCCGTTAACCCTTATTACATTGTAACAGCTAAGGCAAAGCGCCCATCGACGTGAGTGACCTTGAGTTGGCCATGCCCACCCAGTCACATGACCACCAAGCCCCGCCTATCCAGCTGGTCATTAGGGCAGAAAACCGATTGTTAAATTATTTGAATCCCACCTCTGTGCAAGGCATAGGGGTGGAAGGCATGCCACCAGGATTGGGTCTCACTTATTCGATTTGCTTTTAATCAGGACACAGATTCAGTTGCAAATTGTTTATAATTTATTTTGAATAGGTAAGAGAAAACAAGAGCTCACAAGTCAGCAGCTGGCCAGCTTTTAGCTACTGAATTATCTAGACTCACAGTCCAAGCATTCATAAAAAGAACCCCATAGCTTTTGCAGGGGCTGTTGAAAAAGTCCCCATATCTTGCAAGATAAGTGAAGGATAGCTGTGGCTTTAATGTGAAATTTGGACAATTTATTTCTTGGGAGATCCAATGAGCATCCTAGTGCTTTGTGTGTTGCATTGCCAACCTCTGTTCTAAGCCTTAAATAACATTTTATTGAATGTTTCATTACATCTTCCAACAACATTTTCTTTTTCCAAATTTAGCTCCCCTTGGACTAAATTTCTACCAAGAACAAAACATGAACATCCTAGGCCAGAATTTCAGTCTAGTTAGTTAATTAATTAATGTGTTTGTTTGACTGTTTCACCTTCTTCATCCAAGAGGTGTCTTAAAGTTATGGAGAAAGAGAGTTTCAGGCACAGCCTACAGCTGGAGATAGCTATAGTCATCCTGGAGCATATATGCCAATTGATTTTAATTCTTAAATAGTAACAGTTTCTAAGTCCAATTAATTGGCTAGAAACAAAAGAATTTCTGAAAAATAAGCACAGTCTGAAATTCTGATTTTGGGATACCCTTCCAATACCAATAAGCAGCATTGCTCTCTATTTGTGGCCTGAAAGTAATAGTGAAGTGTTAATGGAGACTACCAAAGAAAGGAGAAGGAAATAAAGATCAGAAAACAACAAGAAAAATGCAAGTAAATAAAGGAATTTGGGGTGGGGGGGGAGAAAGCATCTGAAGTGGCAATCCTAAAAAGCTACGCTAATATGAAAATACATACTGGGGAGAAGCTGGTCTGCTAAGACCCAACTTTATCTCCAGAGTAGAAGATAGCCTGCTGCATTAGTTTCTTTCGAAATGCAACCCTACCAAGAATTCTGAATGTTTGTATTGCCTTTTTATTAATAATTGGAGATGCAGTTGGAGGGAGACTTCCTTGCGTGCACATCTTTCTCTGTACGTCTCCATTCTCCACTCATTAGTGAGAATTAAGTGAAACCTCCTAGAAATATGTCCTACAACACAATATCGACATCTAACTTCTCTATGCAGTCTGGTGGCATGTTGCTTTTTAGTGTCTGCTTTCTTTACATTCATGCTAGAAGAGTGTGTGTTGTATGTCACTGCATTTTACGCTCCTTAAAGTTAAGTAGACAAATGCACAAACTTTCCCTTGTACCTTCTTTGTCCCTTCTAGTTCAAAGTTGCCTTTTCAGTATTCAGGATATGCAATTCAGAGTTGTTGTTTTTTAACCAGAATTGCATTAATTAGTGATATTTTAATTTTACTCCCTTGTTAACAATAAAACAAGCAAAAAAAAACAAACCTTCCGTGTAACAATTTCTGTTACTGCCAGCCATTTTGATAATTTTGCAATAGGAGTCAGTTAAAATGAAAATGCAATTTATTTAACAATAAATGCCTTTCAGATTTAATGTTTTCTTTGTGTCAATGATGGCATCAGTTTGAACGTATCATGATTATACTTCCCTGATAGCTACTATATATATATACATATCCATATTTTAAATAAGCATAATTTAAAAACCCTTTAGATACAGTCTTAACTTATTTCATTCCTTTTGAACTGACAGAGTCACAGAAATACTACACATTAAGCTTTATGGAGGTTTTTCTCCCCTTTGAAAGTCATTTTATATGTAAAGCCTAAAATGAGATTGAATAGAGATTGAATTAAATTGATTAGGAATGGGCATTCTGCATACTGTGTGTATGTAGAATGAATGGAGTTGAGAGCTTAAATTGGTAAGGGCCTGGCCAAAAGTTTGCATTAGCCAAACACAATGAATATTGGAATCCATACAAATCACAATCATTGCATCCTTTAATGTTAAGTTTTCATCCAGTAAACATCTTCCTTTCAGACATACTGTTCCCTCACAGTAGCATTCTGACAGTGGGAGCGTATCCCACAATTTCATACTCTTCTCTGGCTTTGTTCATTATTGTGTGGTGCACATGTCTTGGTAGGAATACAAGCGCAAGCAGTTGGAGGAACAACGGCAAGCGGAGAGGCTACAACGACAACTGCAACAAGAACGAGATTATCTAGTTTCTTTACAGCAGCAACAGCGACAAGAACAAAGACCAACCGAAAAGAAGCCTCTCTATCATTACAAGGAAGGGATGAACGCCACTGAGAAGCCAGCTTGGGCAAAGGAGGTAGGCCTGATCACATTTTATAGAGCAAGTATGCAAACCAGTTTCACCAACATTGAATTTGCACACATGTTCAGCCTCCCGCCCACTCTTTGGGATTACCTAGCACTGATTCTTCATTATATTGGATTGTTTGGCCCAAGAACTTCATCTGCCCTCTCATGTCATCAGGTCGTTGCATCCATCCCAAATTGATTGAGGTTCCCTTACAATTCTGAAATTCAATGGTTGTATCACATATTTGGATCTGGGCGATGTGATGTAAACTGGGTAAAGTTACCTGTGTGTCTAATTCAGGAAAGAAAATGATTCAGCAACCAAANCATCTTTTCTACATCGTGGTGACCAAAACTGAATGCAGTACTGACTCACATTTATGACAGTTGCAGTGTCCCTGGGACATGTGATCCCCCTTTGCGTCCTTCTGACAAGCAAAGTCAATGGGCTCACCAGATTCACTTAACAACCGTGTTACTAACTTAACCACTGCAGTGATTCACTTAACAACTGGGGCAAGAAAAGTTGTGAAATGGGGCAACATTCACTGAACAACTGTTTCGCTTAGGTTGTAAGTCAAGGACTACCTGTAGAGGCATTAAAGAACTGAGTTTGTACATCATGACTGTTTTAGACTGAAACTCCTGGTATTTAGGTTGTATACTTCTGAAATAGATTACCGTATTTTTCGGACTATAAGACACACTATTGTATAAGATGCACCAAGATTTCGAAGAGGTAAGTAAGAAAAAAGGTTTTGTCCTCCCCATCCCCCCGCAGCACTCTGCTGGCTTCAACAGGGCTGGAGAAGACAAAAACGCCTCCATTTTTGCAAAAACAACCCATTTGTTCTCATTTTTCACAAAAATGGGGGCATTTTTGTCTTCCCCCAGCCCTGCTGAAGCCTGCAGAATACTCCTGGGGGCTGGGGGAAGGCAAAACCGCCTCCATTTTTGTGAAAAACAGCCCGTTTTTTGCCTGTTTTTCGCAAATATGGGATGCGGGGGCGTGGCTTCGGGAGGCCAAAAATGGCTGTATTCCATGTATAAGATGCATCAACATTTCCACACTCTTTTAGGAGGGGGGGAAGTGTGTGTTATGCTCCAAAAAATACGGTAATGTAATCTCAGAAAGTTTGCTCTTAGCATGGAATCCAGTAATGCAAGTTTCAATCAAATCAGAGAGAAGCTAAACCTTATTGTGACATATCTTCAACTTCTTTACTATGTGACATTGAGTTCTCTTAGAACCTTGGTCCATTTGTTTGGTAGCCAGATGAGGGAGGCCCAAAACTCTTTCAAAAGTATTTCCATATGCTGAAATCCACTCCATTATTGCTACAGCTAAAATACAATTATTCTCTGATTGAGATAGCAGGCTGATATGGATCAGACATATGTTTTCCCCAGAAATAATTTTCAGATGGTTAACTGGGCTGGAATTCAGGAAATTTGTGGTCTCAGTGCATATATAGGACTTTTGATAGCAAGGCTCCTTAGTTGCCAGTTAGCATGTTTACCTTTAGCCAAAATTACTTTTCTGTTTTCTTTCTGCTCTGTGGAGTTTTGGGGTTTCAAAACCAACAATAATTATGTGATTTTCCTTGTTGATATAAATAATTTATTCCTGCCTTCCTTTATAGCAGCAAAGGAGAGAGAAAGAGCTAAGAAAACAACAAGAGAGAGAGCAACGGCGGCATTATGAAGAACAATTGCGGCGAGAAGAGGAAAGGAGACGGGCTGAACACGAGCAGGTGACGAGCTTCAGATCCAAATGATTGCATATTTTAATAATGCATGCTACTTTCTAAGTGTCAAACTCAGACGCCACTCAAAAAGGAAGTTCAGTGTGACCCAACTTCTTCATACTGTTTGGAGATGTTGGCGTTGGATTGAGATACCCAATTTAATAGCAATAGCACTTAGACTTATATACTGCTCCTTAGTGCTTTAGAGCTCTCTCGAAGCAGTTTACAGAGTCCACATATTGCCCCCAACAATCTGGGTCGTCATTTTACCCATCTCGGAAGGATGGAAGGCTGAGTCAACCTTGAGCCGGTGAGAATCGAACTGCCAAATTGCTGTCAGCTGAAGTAGCCTGCAGCTCTGCATTCTAACCACTGTGCCACCACGGCTCATTAATTCCTCTTATTGACATGAATACACATTCTGTTGCCCTTCACAATGTGGTTTTAGGGGTCTGTGGGTTTTGATGTGGTGCTTAAAGGTAACTGGCTAGAAACTGGGAGAGTCAACTCTAGGCAGAAGACAGTGGCAACCACTTCCCAAAAAATATTACCAAGAAAGCTGCATGGGCTTTTCCAGCAGTCAATAGAATCCAGACTGACTCAATCGCATGCGTGTGCCCAGACACACACACAGACACCAATTGAATACAAGTAATCCACAACTTTAAGAGCCAAGGTGGCGCAGTGGTTAAATGCAGCACTGCAGGCTACTGCTAGATCAGCAGTTCAGCGGTTCAAATCTCACCGGCTCAGGGT